GTGTACTGGTGCTGGGGTGTTGGTGTGTACTGGTACTGGCGTGGTGGTGTGTATTGGTACTGGGGTGGTGGTGGTGTGTACTGGTGCTGGGGGGTGGTGGTGTGTACTGGTACTGGGGTGGTGGTGTGTCTCACTGGTCGTGCTGGGGTGGTGGTGGTGTGTACTGGTGCTGGGGGTGGTGGTGTGTACTGGTGCTGGGGGTGGTGGTGTACTGGTGCTGGGGGTGGTGGTGTGTACTGGTGCTGGGGGTGGTGGTGTGTACTGGTGCTGGGGTGGTGGTGTGTGTGGTACTGGGGGTGGTGGTGTGTACTGGTACTGGGGGTGGTGGTGTGTACTGGTGGTGGGGTGGTGGTGGTACTGGTACTGGGGGTGGTGGTGTGTACTGGTAGTGGGGGTGGTGGTGTGTACAGGTGGTCGGGTGGTGGTGTGTACTGGTGGTGGGGGTGGTGGTGTGTACTGGTAGTGGGGGTGGTGGTGGGTGGTACTGGTGCTGGGGGTGGTGGTGTGTACTGGTGCTGGGGGTGGTGGTGTGTACTGGTGCTGGGGGTGGTGGTGTGTACTGGTGCTGGGGTGGTGGTGTGTACTGGTGCTGGGGTGGTGGTGTGTACTGGTGTGGTGGTGTTGTACTGGTGCTGGGGTGGTGGTGTGTACTGGTGCTGGGGTGGTGGTGTGTACTGGTACTGGGGTGGTGGTGTGTACTGGTGCTGGGGTGGTGGTGTGTACTGGTACTGGGGGTGGTGGTGTGTACTGGTAGTGGGGGTGGTGGTGTGTACTGGTACTGGGGGTGGTGGTGTGTACTGGTACTGGGGGTGGTGGTGTGTACTGGTACTGGGGGTGGTGGTGTGTACTGGTACTGGGGGGTGGTGGGTGTACTGGTACTGGGGGGTGGTGTGTACTGGTACTGGTGGTGGTGTGTGGTGGTGTGGTATGGTGGTGGTGTGTACTGGTGGGGGTGGTGGTGTGTACTGGTGCTGGGGTGGTGGTGTGTACTGGTGCTGGGGTGGGTGTGGTGTGTACTGGTGCTGGGGGGTGGTGTGTGTACTGGTGCTGGGGGTGGTGGTGTACTGGTACTGGTGGTGGTGTGTACTGGTGGTGGTGGTGTACTGGTGCTGGGGGTGGTGGTGTGTACTGGTGCTGGGGTGGTGGTGTGTACTGGTGCTGGGGGTGGTGGTGTGTACTGGTGCTGGGGGTGGTGGTGTGTACTGGTGCTGGGGGTGGTGGTGTGTACTGGTGCTGGGGGTGGTGGTGTGTACTGGTGCTGGGGGTGGTGGTGTGTACTGGTGCTGGGGTGGTGTGTACTGGTGCTGGGGTGGTGGTGTGTACTGGTGGGGGTGGTGTGTACTGGTGGGGTGGTGGTGGTGTATGGTGCTGGTGGTGGGTACTGGTGGTGGGGGTGGTGGTGTGTACTGGTACTGGGGGTGGTGGTGTGTACTGGTGGTGGTGGTGTGGTGTACTGGTGCTGGGGGTGGTGGTGTGTACTGGTGCTGGGGGGGTGGTGGTGTGTACTGGTGCTGGGGGTGGGTGGTGTGTACTGGTACTGGGGGGTGGTGGTGTGTGTACTGGTACTGGGGGTGGTGGTGTGTACTGGTGCTGGGGGTGGTGGTGTGTACTGGTACTGGGGGTGGTGGTGTGTACTGGTGCTGGGGGTGGTGGTGTACTGGTGCTGGGGGTGGTGGTGTGTACTGGTGCGGGGGTGGTGTGTGTACTGGTGGTGGGTGGTGGTGTGTACTGGTGCTGGGGTGGTGGTGTGTACTGGTGCTGGGGGTGGTGGTGTACTGGTGCTGGTGGTGGTGGTGTGTACTGGTGCTGGGGGTGGTGGTGTGTACTGGTGCTGGGGGGTGTGGTGGTGGTGTGTACTGGTGCTGGGGTGGTGGTGTGTACTGGTGCTGGGGTGGTGGTGTGTACTGGTGCTGGGGGTGGTGGTGTGTACTGGTGCTGGGGGTGGTGGTGTGTACTGGTGCTGGGGGTGGTGGTGTGTACTGGTGCTGGGGGTGGTGGTGTGTGTGTACTGGTGGTGTGTACTGGTGGGGGTGGTGGTACTGGTGCTGGGGGTGGTGTGGTACTGGTACTGGGGGTGGTGGTGTGTGGTGGTGGTGGTGGTGGTGTGTGTACTGGTGCTGGGTGGTGGTGGTGTGTACTGGTACTGGGGGTGGTGGTGTGTACTGGTACTGGGGTGGTGGTGTGTACTGGTGGTGGGGGTGGTGGTGTGTACTGGTACTGGGGGTGGTGGTGGTACTGGTGGTGGTGTGTGTACTGGTACTGGGGGTGGTGGTGTGTACTGGTACTGGGGTGTGGTGGTGTGTACTGGTACTGGGGGTGGTGGTGTGTACTGGTACTGGGGGTGGTGGTGTGTACTGGTGCTGGGGTGGTGGTGTGTACTGGTACTGGGGGTGGTGGTGTGTACTGGTACTGGGGGTGGTGGTGTGTACTGGTGCTGGGGGTGGTGGTGTGTACTGGTGCTGGGGGTGGTGGTGGTGTACTGGTACTGGGGGTGGTGGTGTGTACTGGTACTGGGGGGTGGTGGTGTGTACTGGTACTGGGGGTGGTGGTGTGTACTGGTACTGGGGGTGGTGGTGTGTACTGGTGGTGGGGTGGTGGTGTGTACTGGTACTGGGGGTGGTGTGTGTACTGGTGGTGTGGTGGTGGTGTGTACTGGTGGGGGTGGTGGTGTGTACTGGTACTGGGGGTGTGTGGTGTGTACTGGTACTGGGGGTGGTGGTGTGTACTGGTACTGGGGGTGGTGGTGTGTACTGGTACTGGGTGGTGGTGTGTACTGGTGCTGGGGGTGGTGGTGTGTACTGGTGCTGGGGTGGTGGTGTGTACTGGTGCTGGGGTGGTGGTGTGTACTGGTGCTGGGGTGGTGGTGTGTACTGGTGCTGGGGTGGTGGTGTGTACTGGTGCTGGGGGTGGTGGTGTGTACTGGTGCTGGGTGTGGTGGTGGTGTGTACTGGTACTGGGGGTGGTGGTGTGTACTGGTACTGGGGGTGGTGGTGTGTACTGGTGCTGGGGGTGGTGGTGTGTACTGGTACTGGGGTGGTGGTGTGTACTGGTGGTGGGGGTGGTGGTGTGTGTACTGGTGGTGGTGTGTGTACTGGTACTGGGGTGGTGGTGTGTACAGGTGGTACTGTGTACAGGTGGTGGTGTGTACAGGTGGTGGTGTGTACAGGTGGTGGTGTGTACAGGTGGTGGTGTGTACAGGTGGTCGGGTGGTGGTGTGTACTGGGGGTGGTGGTGTGTACTGGTACTGGGGGTGGTGGTGTGTACTGGTACTGGGGGTGGTGGTGTGTACTGGTGCTGGGGTGGTGGTGTGTACTGGTACTGGGGTGGTGGTGTGTACTGGTACTGGGGGTGGTGGTGTGTACTGGTACTGGGGGTGGTGGTGTGTACTGGTACTGGGGTGGTGGTGTGTACTGGTATTGGGGGTGGTGGTGTGTACTGGTACTGGGGGTGGTGGTGTGTACTGGTACTATGGTAGTGGTGGTGTGTACTGGTACTGTGGTAGTGGTGGTGTGTACTGGTAGACACGGTACTGGGTATCGTGACCACCACAGCACCCACAGACTGCAGTAGCGGGTGGTGGGGGTCGCCGGTACCCCCCAAGAGAGTGGTTATCGTGGTGCACGATAGCACCAGAGGCCACTTGAGTATTCATGGGGGTTTTAGTGGCGGGAAGATTGCGTGTGTGTTGAGTAGTGTGGTGTAGTGTTGATAAGCCGGCCTCAACCCCGCTCTCCGACCCCACCACAGCACCCGACACCCCCCGGACACGTGACCGGACATCCCCGGACATCCCCAGACATCCCCAGACATCCCCGGACATCCCCAGACATCCCCGGACATCCCCGGACATCCCCGGACATCCCCGGACATCCCCGGACATCCCCGGACATCCCCGGACATCCCCAGACATCCCCGGACATCCCCGGACATCCCCAGACATCCCCGGACATCCCCAGACATCCCCAGACATCCCCGGACATCCCCGGACATCCCCAGACATCCCCGGACATCCCCAGACATCCCCGGACATTCCCAGACATCCCCAGACATCCCCAGACATCCCCAGACATCCCCGACACAGTCGACCTTGTACCCAACGTGCCAGGTACTTCGTGTCTACCTTGGCTTTTACCGTTTCTCGAGTGAGTATTGGGTCTACTATTTTCGCCTGCATGATGGAGCTGTTAGCTCTTGGGCCTCGCTTGTGTAACATGGGAGGACTAAGGGGCGGAGAGGGCGAGGAGCCTCGAACCAGGGACGAACAATTCACCACGATGATTGTGTACACACTTTCCTGGAACTGGTTACTCTTGATGGCTTCTCTTCACCCTGGACATTGATGGCTGGAAGGTCTCAACTTCCTCCCTTCTACCCCATCAAGGTCGTCCCCCTCATCCTCAACCCCCCACCCTCCCTCACACGCCCTATCCACCCCCCATCCCTCCGTACCCTTCTTGATGGGACTATCCCCTTGAAGCCTTTTTCCTGTCCGCTGATAAGTTGTCGTTTCTTTCCCCCAAAAGCATTTACCACTTGGCGGTTACCGCCGCGAGGTCAGTCGCCATTGTTCTCCGTAAGAGCCGCTGCCACCACTGGCAGGGGTGGTGGTGGTGGTGGTGGCAGCGGCCTTGTGGTGGTGGCAGGGGAGGCAGTAGGGGGTGGTGGTGGCAGGGGCGGTGGCAGGGACCACATCAGTATTCAGGAGGGCGGCTGGGAGCGGCCTCAGACATGGGGCGCTTCGCGGATGGGATTATTGCAATTTGGAGTGATGGTCGGGCGAGGGTGCATGTGGGGCCGGCTGCTGTATGTGTGATGACACCACGCCACCCAAACTGGTGCCCGGTTCACCGCCTGATTGGGCTGTTGGGGCTTGTTCCCCTGTCACCAGCCCGCCCCCTAACACCACACCCAACTGCCCACCTCACTCATAGACGCTATTTTGTACGTACTCATTTTATGAGGCTTATCTCACATTAATATGCTCGTGTCTTTTGTTACAGCAACGTGATAGTTACATTCGGTCAGTGAAGCTGCTGCCTGATGGGCGGACGCTACTGGTGGGCGGCGAGGCGTCCACACTCAGCATCTGGGACCTAGCGACGCCCACGCCCAGAATCAAGGCGGAACTCACCTCTGCGGCACCAGCATGCTACGCCTTGGCCATCAGTCCGGACTCGAAGGTGTGCTTCAGCTGTTGCAGTGACGGCAACATTGCCGTGTGGGACCTGCACAACCAAACGCTAGTCAGACAGTTCCAGGGCCACACAGACGGGGCGTCGTGCATCGACATCTCCCCTGACGGCACCAAGTTGTGGACAGGCGGCCTGGACAACACAGTCAGGTCGTGGGACCTACGGGAGGGTCGTCAGTTACAGCAGCACGATTTTACCAGTCAAATCTTCTCCCTGGGTTACTGTCCCACCGGCGAGTGGCTCGCCGTTGGCATGGAGAGTTCCAATGTGGAGGTCCTCCACGTCAACAAACCGGACAAGTACCAACTCCACCTTCACGAATCTTGCGTCCTCTCCCTCAAGTTCGCCTCGGCTGGCAAGTGGTTCGTGTCGACTGGGAAAGACAACTTGCTCAACGCGTGGCGCACCCCCTATGGTGCCTCCATCTTCCAGGTGAGTCCTGGCACTGTTACTGCTTCTACAGTGTACCTTGTTACACTGCTGACATTACCCAGGTGATCATAAGGCTATTGTGTACATATTCTTGGATTTGATTCACATTCTTAGGCTGCTCACTATACTAGTCATCATTAGCCATACTGGTGGTAAACACGTCATCATTAGCCATACTGGTGGTAAACACGTCATCATTAGCCATACTGGTGGTAAACACGTCATCATTAGCCATACTGGTGGTAAACATTAGCCATACTGGTGGTAAACACGTCATCATTAGCCATACTGGTGGTAAACACGTCATCATTAGCCATACTGGTGGTAAACACGTCATCATTAGCCATACTGGTGGTAAATACGTCATCATTAGCCATACTGGTGGTAAACACGTCATCATTAGCCATACTGGTGGTAAACATTAGCCATACTGGTGGTAAACACGTCATCATTAGCCATACTGGTGGTAAACACGTCATCATTAGCCATACTGGTGGTAAACATTAGCCATACTGGTGGTAAACATTAGCCATACTGGTGGTAAACATTAGCCATACTGGTGGTAAACACGTCATCATTAGCCATACTGGTGGTAAACACGTCATCATTAGCCATACTGGTGGTAAACATTAGCCATACTGGTGGTAAACATTAGCCATACTGGTGGTAAACATAGCCATACTGGTGGTAAACACGTCATCATTAGCCATACTGGTGGTAAACACGTCATCATTAGCCATACTGGTGGTAAACAACATTAGCCATACTGGTGGTAAACAACATTAGCCATACTGGTGGTAAACATGTTTACACAATTTTACAAATCAAAATATTTTCTCCCTCAGTCGAAGGAGTCGTCGTCGGTGTTGAGTTGCGACATCTCTGCGGACGACAAGTACATCGTGACGGGCTCCGGCGACAAGAAGGCCACCGTCTACGAGGTCATCTACTAGACCATCAACACTTCCCGGATTTGGGATCGGAGTTTCCCAAGCTTGAAGTCCACTTCATCAGCTTTATGGCAAGCTCTTGAGCCGAGACTCACGCCATCAGACCCTGGAGGGTCCTTGGCCAACTTGTCATCGTTCAAAGCTTTAATTAGATTTTCTGTGGTGAGAAGTCATCGCTGGAGATCCAATAGGAGTCAAGTGACATTATCCGTGTGGTCCCTTACAGCTTCACTGTTTTAAATTCACTTGTACTTGTCCAAAATTAACATTTAAAATATCATAAAATATTTATAATAATGATTTCTCTATGAACCTCAGTGAGGAATCATTTTAAGTATAGTGACTTGCTCACCAGAGGTCAGCACTAGGAAGTAGCGATCACCAAACACTTAATGTCGACACGTGACTGTCACCACGTCACCCACCGCCACTCTCCTCATCCTCGCCCGACAGTTCCAGGCTTTGAGGATTTCCCAAACTACAAGATCTCGTTTCAAAGTTTCTCGAATTGTGTGGAGTGACTCGTCTAATATCTCCTACACTGAGTACTGAGTACTGTGTACTGAGGATGGCACAAGAGGATGTCAACCATCCAGTACTGTGCTAAGATGTGCTCAAACGTATCCAGAAGCGAGATGAAGCAAGCCGTGTTGAACCTTCTTGTCACCTAGGTATCAGAAAATATATCGTAACAGTATGCTGGAGTGATGAAGAGTTAAGGTAACGAGACTGTGGAGGCGAGTTATGTGGTGTGTGTGTTGAGGGCGAGTGGACATGGCCCGAGCCGTGTTTACAGCGGCGGGGGCCGCCCCACACTCCCCCGTCACCACCAGGGGGCCGCCCCACACTCCCCCGTCACCACCAGTGGACCGCTTGTCGCAGGGACACTGAGTGAGCAGGAACAAGGAAGGTCAAGAGTGTCGGGGAATGTCAAGCTGATGGCAAGTCAGAGTGTGGGAAGCTGGTGCAGTGTTGTTGGCTGAGCAATGCGTCAGGTGAGAGTGACACTATACTGGGGACACTATAACTGTGCTTCACAGTATTGCTCAATACAGACATCTGGGAAAATGGTTGTCATAGTGCAAACATGAGATGCAAGAAAGGAGAGTGTGTGGGCGCAGTGATTGTGAAAACACGCTGTAATATGACACGTACAAGCAATACCTATTTTTGCACACCAATACTTGTGGTGGTGAGGTGGGGCCGCCGAGTGCTCCTGGCCGCGCCACTCTCAAACATTGTCAACTGCAGAAAACATACTGAAAAACACACATTATTGGGCATGAAATATAACCTGTGAACCTCGTGATGGTGCTTGCGGGTCATTAGCCTTAATAATGGCAAGAAAAGCCTATTATTAAGATTTTGTTTATCTTGGTGAAACAAATTAAGTCATTCCTCACCAGACGAATAGAAAGTTGTTTTGGGGCGAGTGTTTATAATTAAAATTAGACTAGCAGGTGAGACTGTTTGATTTTTGTATTCCTTTATCCTAGCCATGAAGGAAGCGAGAGTATAGTGACTGACACACACGGGCGCCTCGGCTCCCGCCTGCCAGCAAAAACAATGTATTTTTTTTTTTGGTTTATTTATAAATTTTGATAAAGAAATATTATATGTGGGAATGTGACATGCTGGTGTAGTTTTAAACAATCAAACAAGGATCGTTGACGATTGCTTTGTTGCGTCTGTGATAAAGTTTATGAAGTAATTTTGACGTTAGTGTTGTGGAGGTGCTGAGCCGGCCAGAGGGGGGGGGGAGGGGGGAGTGGGGAGTGCTCCGTGAGAAGTCTGTGGTTCCGGTAGGTGCTCCTTGGACCCCCCCCCCCCCTCCCTCTTCCCCTGAAGTTCCACAGTGACTCACGTTCCCCAGAGCGCGCGCGCGCGCCTGCCTGCCTGCCTGCAAGGTCACTCAACTGGTTTTGCAAAGAGGATTTCACCGGCCTCCAATTTTCATGTTACTTTTTATTTTTATTCATTCATTGCCACATTTGGTATGGCGTTCATTAGGGAGAAGATTATGTAGAGAGTAATGGTGTGAGAGCCGCGGTGAGGCGCCCCAGTTGAGTGGCTGAGGGAGGCAGCCGCAGCAGCCGCAGCAGCAGCAGCAGCAGCCGCCGCAGCAGCAGCAGCAGCCGCCGCAGCAGCAGCAGCAGCAGCAGCAGCAGCAGCAGCAGCAGCCGCAGCAGCAGCAGCAGCAGCCGCAGCAGCGGCCGCAGCAGCGGCAGCAGCAGCAGCTGCCGCAGCAACAACAGCAGCAGCAGCCGCAGCAGCAGCAGCAGCAGCAGCAGCAGCAGCAGCAGCAGCAGCAGCAGCAGCCGCAGCAGCAGCAGCAGCAGCAGCAGCAGCAGCAGCAGCAGCAGCAGCAGCAGCAGCCGCAGCAGCAGCAGCAGCAGCAGCAGCAGCAGCAGCCGCAGCAGCAGCAGCAGCAGCAGCAGCAGCAGCAGCAGCAGCCGCAGCAGCAGCCGCAGCAGCCGCAGCAGCAGCCGCAGCAGCAGGCAGCACAGCACAGCAGCAGCCGCAGCAGCAGCCGCAGCAGCCGCAGCAGCAGCCGCAGCAGCAGCCGCAGCAGCAGCAGCCGCTCTTATACAAGTTGTGGGAATTCTGAACCTTTACTGAATGTTGGTTATCATGGGACGACCCCCCCCCCCCCCCGACCACAGAACCCCCCCGACCACAGAAACCCCCCCGACCACAGAACCCCCCCCCCGACCACAGAACCCCCCCCCCGACCACAGACCCCCCCCCCCGACCACAGACCCCCCCCCCCCGACCACAGACCCCCCCCCGACCACAGACCCCCCCCCCCCGACCACAGACCCCCCCCCCGACCACAGAACCCCCCCCCCCCGACCACAGAACCCCCCCCCCCCGACCACAGAACCCCCCCCCCGACCACAGAACCCCCCCCCGACCACAGAACCCCCCCCCCCTACCACAGACCCCCCTCCCCGACCACAGACCCCTCGCCCCACCCCGACCACAGACCCCCCCCCCCCCGACCACAGAACCCCCCCCCCCCCCGACCACAGAACCCCCCCCCCCCCGACCACAGAACCCCCCCCGACCACAGAACCCCCCCCCCCGACCACAGAACCCCCCTCCCCCGACCACAGACCCCCCTCCCCGACCACAGACCCCTCGCCCCCCCCCGACCACAGACCCCTCGCCCCCCCCCCCCCGACCACAGACCCCTCGCCCCCCCCCCCCGACCACAGACCCCTCGCCCCCCCCCTCCCCGACCACAGACCCCTCGCCCCCCCCCCGACCACAGACTCCTCGCCCCCCCCCGACCACAGACCCCTCGCCCCCCCCCGACCACAGACCCCTCGCCCCCCCCCCCCGACCACAGACCCCTCCCCCCCCCCGACCACAGACCCCTCGCCCCCCCCCCCCGACCACAGACCCCTCGCTCCCCCCCGACCACAGACCCCTCGCCCCCCCCCCCGACCACAGACCCTCCCCCCCCCCCGACCACCACAGAACCCCCCCCCCCCCCGACCACAGACCCCCCTCCCCGACCACAGACCCCTCGCCCCCCCCCCCCCCGACCACAGACCCCTCGCCCCCCCCCCCCCCCCCCCGACCACAGACCCCTCGCCCCCCCCCCCCGACCACAGACCCCTCGCCCCCCACTTCCCCGACCACAGACCCCTCGCCCCCCCCCCCCGACCACAGACCCCTCGCCCCCCCCGACCACAGACCCCCTCGCCCCCCCCCCCCCCGGACCACAGACCCCTCGCCCCCCCCCCGACCACAGACCCCTCGCCCCCCCCCCCGACCACAGACCCCTCGCCCCCCCCCCCCCCGACCACAGACCCAGACCCCTCGCCCCCCCCCCCGACCACAGACCCCTCGCCCCCCCCCCCGACAACAGACCCCCCCCCCCCCCCGACCACAGACCCCCCTCCCCGACCACAGACCCCCCCCTCCCCGACCACAGACCCCTCGCCCCCCCCCCGACAACAGACCCCTCGCCCCCCCCGACAACAGACCCCCCCCCCGACAACAGACCCCCCCCCCGACAACAGACCCCCCCCCCGACAACAGACCCCCCCCGACAACAGACCCCCCCCCCCCCGACAACAGACCCCCCCGACCACAGAACCCCCCCCGACCACAGAACCCCCCCCCCCCCCGACCACAGAACCCCTTCCCCCCCCGACCACAGAACCCCTTCCCCCCCCGACCACAGAACCCCTTCCCCCCCCGACCACAGAACCCCCCCCCGACCACAGACCCCCCTCCCCGACCACAGACCCCCCTCCCCGACCACAGAACCCCCCCCGACCACAGACCCCCCCCCCGACCACAGACCCCCCCCCCCCCCGACCACAGACCCCCCCCCCCCCGACCACAGACCCCCCCCCGACCACAGACCCCCCCCCCCCCGACCACAGACCCCCCCCCCGACCACAGACCCCCCCGACCACAGACCCCCCCCGACCACAGACCCCCCCCGACCACAGACCCCCCCCCCGACCACAGACCCCTCGCCCCCGACCACAGACCCCTCGCCCCCCCCCCGACAACAGACCCCCCCCGACAACAGACCCCCCCGACAACAGACCCCCCCCCCGACAACAGACCCCCCCCCCCGACAACAGACCCCCCCCCGACAACAGACCCCCCCCCCGACAACAGACCCCCCCCCGACAACAGACCCCCCCCCGACAACAGACCCCCCCCCGACAACAGACCCCCCCCGACAACAGACTCCCCCCCGACAACAGACCCCCCCCCGACAACAGACCCCCCCCGACAACAGACCCCCCCCCCCCGACAACAGACCCCCCCCCCCCCCCCCCGACAACAGACCCCCCGACAACAGACCCCCCCCCCCGACAACAGACCCCCCCCGACCACAGACCCCCCTCCCCGACCACAGACCCCCCTCCCCGACCACAGACCCCCCTCCCCGACCACAGACCCCTCGCCCCCCCCCGACCACAGTCGGTGTACACACCTGACTTCATTAAGGCCGTCAATGATTGTCATCTTCAGTAAATGTCTCAGAAGTCAAGCCGAGGATAAAAGGCTTGAGAAACTAAAGAAGGCTCCACCACTCGTGGGCCGTGTGGCTCTGAGGGACGCTTAATGGCTGCCAACCTCATCATTGTTAATCTCAGGTCAATTGCAGATGGTTTAGCATCCCCTCCAGGTAGGAAGGGTGCGTGCGTGCGAGCCCGCGCACTGCCAGCGTGCGTCTCCGCCACTCACACTGACACTCACACCGACACTCACACACCTCGCCTCACATCCATGTAAATAATTTCTCAGGTGGATGAGGGCGCGTGCTTTGGTGGTGCCCGGCGCACGAAACCCTTACATCACAGCTCTCCTGCCACACACATTGTAATAAACTCAACTACTACACATCAGTGGTCCTAAACACACATGTGAAGGTTGACCAGATTTGAACTGAACTTCTCTTTAAAAGCATAAGTTACCATCTGTTTTTTAAAATGTGTTCAAGCGAGTCTATTGAATTTGTTAGCCACTGAAGTCCCCCTAAAAGCAATGTTGTTTCTCAAGACTTTTATCTCTTCACAAAGTTGACCATTATGCAGTTCACAGTTAAGATGTTCTCGTGTCCAGGAGGGAAATTAGCCTTTTTCTGCTATTTTATACAAATTGAAAAGACGTGAAACCAATATACGGGAGACGTCACTACTATGGCGCCCCTCCCTCGTCTGTGGCACGGGGCCCTTACCTCGTCTGTGGCACGGGGTCCTTACCTCGTCTGTGGCACGGGGCCCCTCCCTCGTCTGTGGCACGGGGCCCTTACCTCGTCTGTGGCACGGGGCCCTTACCTCGTCTGTGGCACGGGGCCCTTACCTCGTCTGTGGCACGGGGCCCTTACCTCGTCTGTGGCACGGGGCCCTTACCTCGTCTGTGGCACGGGGCCCTTACCTCGTCTGTGGCACGGGGCCCTTACCTCGTCTGTGGCACGGGGCCCTTACCTCGTCTGTGGCACGGGGCCCTTACCTCGTCTGTGGCACGGGGCCCTTACCTCGTCTGTGGCACGGGGCCCTTACCTCGTCTGTGGCACGGGGCCCTTACCTCGTCTGTGGCACGGGGCCCTTACCTCGTCTGTGGCACGGGGCCCTTACCTCGTCTGTGGCACGGGGCCCTTACCTCGTCTGTGGCACGGGGCCCTTACCTCGTCTGTGGCACGGGGCCCTTACCTCGTCTGTGGCACGGGGCCCTTACCTCGTCTGTGGCACGGGGCCCTTACCTCGTCTGTGGCACGGGGCCCTTACCTCGTCTGTGGCACGGGGCCCTTACCTCGTCTGTGGCACGGGGCCCTTACCTCGTCTGTGGCACGGGGCCCTTACCTCGTCTGTGGCACGGGGCCCCTCCCTCGTCTGTGGCACGGGGCCCTTACCTCGTCTGTGGCACGGGGCCCTTACCTCGTCTGTGGCACGGGGCCCTTACCTCGTCTGTGGCACGGGGCCCTTACCTCGTGTGGGTAATGCACCTGACCGTGACCACAATACCCCTGCGACCAGACAAACGGGTGCAGCACCCACTAGTGCTGAGGGTGAGCGCCAACTGTGGGTGCTGGAAGGTGATGGTGCCAGGGCCTTGAGGGCCATCACCCTCGCTGGAACACCATCCCCTCTACTCGCACGTCTCGCCGCCAGAAACTAAGGTGGCTGAAAGCTGTGGATATCGTCACTACGCAGAACGTAAACAAATAAAATACAGGTTCATGTAGAGAAAGTTATTCATTCTTATTCAGTGTGTGCCATTATCCGGAGTTTCAGTAAAGTGTTTATGTGCAATATATCCGACACTTTTATTAACCCCCTTTATTGTGTATATTTAATAATAATACCAAGAACTTTCTTGGACCAAAAAATCACAATACTTATCAAAGTTGTTTCCTGTCAAATATGAGTCAATACGTATGAACGTGTATGACAAAATACACCAATGAGCTCAGACCCACACAGCTCCGAGACATCTCACGCACAGATTTGTATTTTTAACTCTGGAAATACTTCCAATGAAAAATTTGCATAATGTATATCCCAAAAGGTAAACCATTAATACAATCATACACCAAGTGGAAAGAATTGTAAACTAAAGCCTACAAGCCCCGACTAACTGTAAATATGTAAATGTTAAAATACACAGATGTAAATGAGTGTTATGAGAACGCCCAATGTAAACACAGCGCCGGTCCCGCCAGTGTTTCCCAACGTCATGAAACTGTCCTACTAAAGTGCCCTTACCCTAACCTACCAGAGGACCCAAAACAGAAAACGGGACAGCATGCCAAGGTCGCCAGCGGCTTCCATTTTCCAGTACAAGTTTTGGCCTTACGTGGACTATACGTCAAAATGCGACGCACTATTATGAGGAAGGGTTGGACACACTCCCATGGAGACTGGTACAATTATGGAACTGTCGAGATATTTGAAGATTTAATAATGATACTGGCATGGAGTGTGGGTATGGTGAAGGACTGTGGGTATGGTGAAGGACTGGGAGTATGGTGATGGACTGGGAGTATGGTGATGGACTGGGAGTATGGTGAAGGACTGGGAGTATGGTGATGGACTGGGAGTATGGTGATGGACTGGGAGTATGGTGAAGGACTGGGAGTATGGTGATGGACTGGGAGTATGGTGATGGACTGGGAGTATGGTGATGGACTGGGAGTATGGTGATGGACTGTGGGTATGGTGAAGGACTGGGAGTATGGTGATGGACTGGGAGTATGGTGATGGACTGACAGTATGGTGATGGACTGACAGTATGGTGATGGGCTGGGAGTATGGTGATGGGCTGGGAGTATGGTGATGGACTGGGAGTATGGTGATGGACTGACAGTATGGTGATGGGCTGGGAGTATGGTGATGGGCTGGGAGTATGGTGATGGACTGGGAGTATGGTGATGGGCTGGGAGTATGGTGAAGGACTGGGAGTATGGTGATGGACTGACAGTATGGTGATGGGCTGGGAGTATGGTGATGGGCTGGGAGTATGGTGAAGGACTGGGAGTATGGTGAAGGGCTGGGAGTATGGTGATGGACTGTGGGTATGGTGATGGACTGGGAGTATGGAGATGGACTGTGGGTATGGTGAAGGACTGGGAGTATGGTGAAGGACTGGGAGTATGGTGAAGGACTGGGAGTATGGTGAAGGACTGGGAGTATGGTGAAGGACTGGGAGTATGGTGATGGACTGTGAGTATGGTGAAGGACTGGGAGTATGGTGATGGACTGGGAGTATGGTGATGGACTGGGAGTATGGTGATGGACTGGGAGTATTGTGAAGGACTGGGAGTATGGTGGACTGGGAGTATGGTGATGGACTGGGAGTATGGTGATGGACTGGGAGTATGGTGATGGACTGGGAGTATGGTGATGGACTGGGAGTATGGTGATGGACTGGGAGTATGGTGATGGACTGGGGGTATGGTGATGGACTGGGAGTATGGTGATGGACTGGGAGTATGGTGATGGACTGGGAGTATGGTGAAGGACTGGGAGTATGGTGATGGACTGGGAGTATGGTGATGGACTGGGAGTATGGTGATGGACTGGGAGTATGGTGATGGACTGGGAATATGGTGAAGGACTGGGAGTATGGTGATGGACTGGGAGTATGGTGATGGACTGACAGTATGGTGATGGACTGACAGTATGGTGATGGGCTGGGAGTATGGTGATGGGCTGGGAGTATGGTGATGGACTGGGAGTATGGTGATGGACTGACAGTATGGTGATGGGCTGGGAGTATGGTGATGGGCTGGGAGTATGGTGATGGACTGGGAGTATGGTGATGGGCTGGGAGTATGGTGAAGGACTGGGAGTATGGTGATGGACTGACAGTATGGTGATGGGCTGGGAGTATGGTGATGGGCTGGGAGTATGGTGAAGGACTGGGAGTATGGTGAAGGGCTGGGAGTATGGTGATGGACTGTGGGTATGGTGATGGACTGGGAGTATGGAGATGGACTGTGGGTATGGTGATGGACTGACAGTATGGTGAAGGACTGGGAGTATGGTGATGGACTGGGAGTAAGGTGATGGACTGGGAGTATGGTGATGGACTGGGAGTATGGTGATGGACTGACAGTATGGTGATGGGCTGGGAGTGTGGTGATGGGCTGGGAGTATGGTGATGGACTGGGAGTATGGTGATGGACTGACAGTATGGCGATGGGCTGGGAGTATGGTGATGGGCTG